GTGCAGAGCACAAAATCTAGTGTGCCCGTCAGAGCTGCAGACTTGCAGTATCCCAATCCCAGATAGATAAAGAATTTGAAGGTTCAGCGAAAAAAACAATTGGCCCCGTATCTGCATGTTCTCAGCAAATTTCGTCGAAAGACGATAGTCTTGCGTGTGGAGAGAGTGAACAAAACATTTATTTGATGTTCTGCGCAAGAAAATCGTTGAATGGTATCCTGGAGGCGCTGCGTTAAAGTGCCTCGAGCGTGCAGCGGAAGCGGATGAGCGCATCAACTCACGTCACACGTGAAACATGAGCGCCCTCTGGCAGTTTTTTTGGAGAACGAAGCACGTGGATCTGAGACGCGTGTGCGCGCCCATCTCAGAGGTTATAAGGTGTAGAACGCAAGGTGACTGGTAGGTGCCACTACCTTAGCAAAGCGTTGGAAACACTCGCATTTTTATGCAAAGGTTGCATGGTAAGCACAACCTGATAAGCACTACGGTCCTTAAGATTACTTATGTATGCGGTTTCTAGGAAAATACGCACATGCAGAATATATACATGTTATGGTGCTCCAGACATGCACAATAAGTGCTTTTTAATTGACAATGGCACAAGTATGAACGTTGAATCTTGAGCAACATTGGTGGGCGCTGCGATGGGGGTCGGCCGTTTCAAGTACCCGGTTGCGTTAAGAGTGTAGGAACAGACAGACAGACAGACAGACAGACAGACAGACAGACAGACAGACAGACAGACAGACCAAACTTTTGCGTCGAAGGTCCCTAAGAAAGACTATCGTCTTTAAAAAAGATTCTGTCATCGCAGTAACAACCCCGAGCCCCCAGATGGACCGACCGGCACATGACAAAGTGACTGTGGAGAGTTTCATTGGTGCGTTTTCAGTTCACGAGGACCTCGAGGATTTCCACTAGAGAGGCCAGCACTGCGACGTTTTGACGTCACAGATAAGGTAGTAATTGTTAAATACGGCAGCTTTGCTTTCGTTAAACCACCTGAATTATCCCCCATGGCTGCACCGATTGTTAGTCGCTATTTTACGATGCAAATTAGACATGAGAGTGCCACATGGGCCGCCGATTCATAGTTTGTTTGCCTGTGTTATCAGGTCTAACCGCTTCTTTAAGCACTGAGCTTCAAAACAAAAGGAAGCACGCACGGTGTCCGCAGAAAAAGCGTAGAAAATGCGGTGTTCTAGCAAAGTCAACCCGGCATTCCATGAGTGACGTCATTGTGGGTGGTGCAACAGTATGTCCTCGGGTCCAATACTGTGCACATTTAAAATATTGATCATAGACTGCGCTCGTCTCAGAATATTTTATGTGCCAGTACTTATTGAAGTGGATAACATATCCAATGCTCTTTTGTTAAACGATACAACGAAGAATGCATATTTTCGGAAGAAATTCGGGCGTTTCATAAAATTTTATATTTTCCAAATAGTCTGACGTTATGCTTCAAAGGGGAGCTCCGCATTTTCGACCATACTGAGAAAATGCCGCTTTCACATATTGACAGTGCTGCAAAAGGTAGCGTGGCTCATTTTGCCACACACTCGTCAATAATTTTGTTTAAGCAAAAATGAAGAGTCAAAACGAAAACTCTGACAGGGAGTCGCTCCTTCCTCCATGGTCAGTATCGGATGACGTCACTAAATTTGATACACACCACCACAGCTGGCCAGAGTGTAAACATAGCTCACGTGCTTTTTCTGACGTGCGGAACGCAATTAAGTGATGCGATCCGACGCAAATTCAACCTGTGCCCGCTTGTCTGAGCATAGCAGTGTAATGTTCCGCGATAATTTCAGCTACTTTTTGAGAGCGAGAGCATCATCTTTTGATTTCAAATGGCCGGCGTGTAAAGTATCTCACGAGCCTCGAATCGATCTCCTCGTTGCTTAACAATTGGGCGACTTCAACGACGACTACCTCGCGGTAGGCAGTTGACGAAACTGAACGGCACTTGTTTCGTCGTCCCCTCGTAAAAAAAAGCGTGTGCTGCACCCGTCTACAGGGAAAGGCAGGCTTTTGAAAAAAATCAGGCACTTATATTGTATGCATACACAGAGTGATCTTGGTGTACAGATCATTCCATAGTTGGCTGCGAATTTCTAAAATTTGTTTTCTAGAAAACTCAGTTTGGGTAGTATAGGTAGGCGCCTATTCTCACGGTCCCCACAAGATCACATGTTCAAAGTTTTTTTAGTCTATAATTATAAAAAAGTTCTCAGAGATGCATTAGTGCACTTTTTGTGATGCTTTGTTATCGGCTGGCTTCAACTGGCTGCGTCTAACATATGGCATACTACTTGATTCATTCTTACAGATTCGTTCATTTGCCAGCAAGGGTCCCATTCCAGTACACATGACCATTTTGGGTATAATGTAAAGCTTAATTTTTCAGTTACCAATAAGCTATCGCTTCTGGTCATGATCTACATGATACAAGAGGGCAACGAAAAGGAATGTTCTTCATCCGGCTCTATGGCTTGAAGTGGCACCGGCTATCACTCCTAATTACACGTACATGTACACCCATTTCTTTTGATGTACACGCATTTGTTGACTTCAACTGAACGCTATCACGATAGTGCCTATTCTTTATTTGACTTATTATTTGACAACATTGCTGGAGCACCTTGCCGAGCTCTCCTTATGTTCCGCCTATCAAAGAAGTGCACCCGTCTATTCATTTCCTCTTCATATAAGAAAAGAAAATGTTAAGGACATGACTCAGAACTTCTTGGTATGTGCCCACAAATTTCCGCGTTTCTGCACATGGTACTTATTTTTATTGGCTATAATTAGTAATGGTGGTCAGAAAAACATCTGCAAATATAATTTTAATAGAAATGTTCGATACAATCAAAAATACGGGGTTCAGATAATTCTGCGAACCTTGAAGTAGCGGTGCTGACAATGGCCATGGCTGATGTGATTCCGGTTTCTAGCGATGCATTAAGAGTGGATATAAAAATCTAAACAAAAACACAGTGCCAAATTTGTTTGCGAACGCTTGTACCTCTTGCGAAAGTAGATGTGCATCTAGGAAAATTGATTCTGCTCTAACAACAGTATTCTACCTTGTCACAGTGAAAGAAAAACTAGTTTTCCTGAAGAATATTCCCGAATTTAGTTTCTAGATGTAAGTAGGTTGACACATCGATTTGTTTTGTCGTCTCATTTTTGCCGTCTTCCCAGTATTGTGCGTACCACTAGCTACACCAATAACAAACACGTGCGATTGTACAAGTCAGGAGGTCCACTTCCAAATTATATAATACAGCTCCAGGAAGCAGCACAGTTTCCTGAAGCACCCAAAAAAATGGTGCCTGTCATTTCAGTCTTTGCAGCGTATGCATCCCTCCCACCGCACTGGCTGCTACACGAACTAGTGTTCGCTTTACTTCATCAAAAACTTTGCAATGCAGTCTGGCGATCGTGGATCATTTTGAAAGTAGCGACGACATAACCCTTCACGAAGGAAACGTTTTGACCCGATCAAAGTATAAGTTTGAGATGTTCCAGTGCGACAGGTTTCCCGGGAAGCGTACGCTTCGCCAATGAAGAATGAGCACGAAGTACGTTTGCGATGAAAACAGCGAAGACGGC